GGTTCGGGGGCATGGCAGGCCTGGGCCATTGCTAGTTCTGTGACCCAGGCCTGAATTCCATTACCTTTGCGTGTGCACAAGAGTAACCAAATCTTCTAGAATATAATATGGAGAAGTATTTTGATGGGATACATACATTGCATTAAGTTATTCTTGTCATTAATTAAGCATGCCAACAATTTTGTATGTTTGATTAACTTGGGCTGCCCAGATATGTTGAAATTCTTGCAGGCTCACTGGTGTTAGTTAGTTAGTTAGTTAGTTCTCCTAGAAGTTTCAGCAAAGTAGTAGGACTGACTCTAGTGCCTTTATTTGATTAGTAGAAAAGATACAACACTGTATCTTTTCAACAGTAAAACAGAAGTAGGACACTGTTTCTGTCAAGAGCAACCAGGGAAGTGATTGCTGAGTGTAGGTGACTGAAGATGGAGAAGATAGGTTACTCAAAAAAGGCTATATATAAGAAACAGAAGATATCATCTTTAGATGAGTTGAAACCCTAAAAAAAAATGAAATTGTTGTAAAAAGAAGTTGAAGTTTGACCTAAAAGCGTTAGAAAGATCGTAACACTCTTAGTGGGACTGCTGAGCAAATGTTTGAATTCCTATGTGTCACAGACCATTTGCCAGATCAGTGGAGAATGGTACAAGATTTATTCCTCATTATATGAGTCATACTCCCTAAAGGCTTTCTCCCTTGCTTTTTTCACCATGATCCAAGTTCTGTGAAATAAACACAGAAAACCTGCATGTTTATCATAGTTGTCAGAGAATCTAAAAGAGCAAATGATTTTCAAACTAATTAACTGGGACTCTGGATTCCTACTATATACATAGACCTGCTCAAATTGCTCCTGCAAAGATTGGATAGAATACTAGATGGCAAGCAAAGAGATTCAGAGAACATTTTAGTCTTCCCTGACATCTACTGGTCATTTGAATGTTGCATGTCAGATCTGGTAGCCCTGTGCCTTTTGCAAGAAAAAAACTGCCCAAATAAAAATGCCTTTAAGCAACTACTTTTAAAAAGCCACTCTTATGCTTCCACATTGTGTCTGATTAGCACCCTGCAAAGTTCTTAAAAGCAAACAAATGTATAAGGGAGACTGTTAAACAGTTTTTCAAGTAGTTTTTTTTTATAAAAAAAATCCTGAGGTCAGCTATTTTGGATAATTATTTAGTATCATTATTGATGGTTTTTGAAGTCATGTAACAATATGGTATCTATTGTTTTGAGTATCTTTTTCATTTGCAAAGTCATCTAATTTATCTCCTTTAAAATTGGATAGACTGTTATAAGAAAATGGGCTTCATTCATCCATATAGTAGGGCTATATTATTGTTATCCTTCTCATCTTTTCTACTAGCTTCTCCTATTGGTATCTTATGATTATATTACTTTGTTGTTTGTATGTACACCAAGAGCTTCGGCATTGGGGACAAATTCCTTGTTGGTCCAATCACAGTTGACCAATAAAGCTGTTGTGTTGCATTGCGTTGCACTCTCCTCTCCTCTCCTCTATTCTTGTTCTGCTTTGTTCTGTTCTGTTAAATTGAATAATATGTTTGGGATTATAATTTTCTCAAAATATGTCACATTATTTTTGAATGAATATGTCTATATGCAGACATATGATTATAGGTATTACAAGGGAGAAAATTGCCATTAGGTTTCTGGGGAAAAGTTAATGTAATTGAAATGAATAATGTGTTTAGAGGGATTACAGTATTAGTTTCTATTAAATATTTTACAGATATTGTAGAGATATATTATTGAGAAAAAATTATGGAAAGCAAAATCTCACTCAAAATCTCACTCAAATCTCTTTGTCTAAACTGAGATTTTTTAATAACATAAATTGCTGCATTTTTCCAGATGGAGTCTTCATTTTAACATCTGTGTTCCTGCAAAATGAGAACTTTTTTGAATATTTTATTCTATTTAATGTATTTCTATCCTGCTATAATAAAAAAGACATTTGGTGGCATTTCTAGGGTAAGTAGTACAATTTAAAATATTCTAAATTGTACAATTCCAAAACATCCCAAAAGTATAACTAGGAATAATAAAACAACACTAAAACAAAAACAGTTACACATTCTAAAAAAATAATAATCAAGATATCATCAAATTAAAGGAAGGCTCTCCAAAACAGCTTGATTTTCTTTTTCATAATTTGTTGTTAAAGATTTTAATTACAAGAAAACAGTTTGGTTTTTAAGAGTTTTTGAAAGATCAGTGAAAAGCAGGCCAGCCTAATCACCAGAGGGAGGCTGCTTCATAAGATTGCTCCAGAGAAGGAATGTTTTCTTGCTTTTGCCATCATCTTTACCAATCATTCCTCCATTGTGGATATTTCAAAGTTTTCCCATTTTTGTGCATATAATATAATATTGCAGCAGTAGTCATATATAGCAATAGTCTTCTGCGGCTTTTTTCTAACTTTCTCTCCGCTAATCCCAGCAAAAAAGTTTTGGTTTCAGAATATTAAAAAAAATATTAATTTTTGAAATTCTTCATATCTTTGTGTGTATTTGAATCCAAAATGTTTTGGCTTTGTTTACAAGTCCACCAGGCATGAACTGCTGAAGCCACACAATATTTTCATGAACCATTGAAAAGTGCTGAGAATAGGCTGTATATTAAATCTTCATGAAAATATTGTGTGGCTTCATTGGCTTTAGGAAGGAGAACAATGTCCATCATTTTAGTAATAGAAGGTCATTCATAAGTATGACTTTGTCTGTACATTAGATGTTCTGAAAGTGGGAACAGTTTGTAAATGGCCTTGTTCGAGAGTCTGGCTTCTGCACTATAGCAAATTAAGATGATAAAAAGAACCATGAAGAATGTGATGTGAGGTCACAATGCAACCACCAGCCTTAGTTGTGTTCCAACATCAAACACAAGTATGTAACTCAGGGAGGTTCTGTTGTGTATATTTCATCCTTTGCTTCTTTCACCTATCCTGTTGACACCTATGCACTGTAGGCCAACAGCAGTAATTTCCCAAAGTCATAGGTACTTTCAATCACCTATCTGTGCTGCACCTTGGGATTAACATTGTATTTAACAAGTAGCTGGATCTATTTCAAATGAATCAATATCATACATCCATATTATGTTTTCCTGCAAGCTTATTAACAAGGCAGAAAGATGGAACAAAGGCAAATTCCTGCAGAGGGCAGCAGTTCTTCAAATTTCAACCACTGCCTCTAAATAGTTATAAATGGAGAATGGTTGTGAGTAGTGTATTTTTTTATCTGAATGCGAAACACTTCAAAAGAGTTGACAAAAACTGACAAAGCATCTGACAACCCCATCATCCAAGAAAATGCATCAGTTCTGAGTTTATATCTGCAAGCTTCTTTTAAACATGCAGTACTTCTAACAGGTGTAAAATCCTACTCCATTCTCAAAATTCACCCTTTTGTTTCTGTAGAATTATCTACACTACAGAATAATCCTATGAGTTTTTCAAGAAAGACGCCTATTTTGTTAAAGTTGGTAGGATGTGGTGACTAGAATGTTAGACTAGAACTAGAGAGACTATTTCAATTTACCATTCAGCCATGAATCTCACTTGGAGACTTTGGGTCAGTGATTACCTCACAGCTTAATTTATCTCAGGAGGTGGCTGTAAGGATGAAATTGCAGGGTTTAGGTGTGCCACAAATCCTACCTTGAGTTATTGGAGTGATGAAAGAAATGTCCTTCTGGGTTCAGCTCCAAGTGGGGAAAAAGACACTGGAGACAACGGAGGCTGCTTGGAAAGATGGTTTATTGTGGACAGGACCACATGGCTTGCGCCCAGAACAGAAAAGGTGATCACATGCTTCAATGTTGGTGGAGAAGAAGAGAAGGGCTGAGGGAGGGGCTTGCTAGACTTTTTATAACCTGTTCAGTCCCACCTCTCTGTTTCCTGTTCCTGTGTAAGAAATGTATTCTGATTGGTTGTCAGANGGAAAGCAGGCCACACCTACAGAAGAGGTTCCAAAAATTTTTGAAGCCCACCACTGATAGCCCGGGTCTCAAACTCATGGCCTGAGGGCCAGATGCATCATGTGATGGCCACACCCACCACTGTCACGATATGTCACGTGACAACATGACACGGCAAGTTTGACACCCCTGGTCTGTAGCATACTTTATTTTTTACATTACTGAAATGGCTTCCTTCCCCCCCCCTCAATAGACAAACTTGAAGCGGTGACTTCTCCAAGGTCACCTGGTGACACTTTATATCTGATCAGGAATTATTTCCTTAATTATGGAGCCTACACGTGTGCAAGATTTTTGGCATGCAGAAATCTTATTACTTTTCAATGAATTTAAATATGGGAGATGCAGTGATACATTCCTCCTGCATTTAAAATTTAGCCCTTCTCTCTAGCTACTGAAAACCACAAATTCCTAAAATTAGGGTGGAGAGAGGATCAATTAGCAGATGTTTTATATCCCATTAATTTCTCCCATATTTTGATTAGTGCTAAGAACAATGGAAAAGTTATGATGATTATACCATAGTGCCTAAAAACAACACACACCAAATTGCTTTGTTCTGATTGATTATAGGAACAAATTATACCTATTTTATATATTTTCATGTACATGGCTGTCTTATCAACCTCTAATATATGATTTCTTTCATTTTAATCAACAACCCTATTTATCTTTCTGAAATGAATTAATACTAGCAGATATACTGTTTCTAAAATTTTCTCCATCCTGATTTACTAAGAAAATTGGTACAATGGATGGATGGGGGAAAAGAGAGATGAGATTGATTAATGATAGATAAATGGTAGATTGAGAGAGGGGGAGAGAAGGAGGGAGAGAAGAGGAGGAGGAGGAGGGGAGGAGAGGGGAGGAGAGATGATGATCATGAAGAGAGAGAGAAAAAATCTAAAAGGAAATAGTGGGGTACATGAATGACCATACATTTACTGTATCTCACCACTAAGAAAATCTATGAAGCTGGATGAAAATGCAGACTTCACCTGTATGGATGAAAGTGTGCTTCTTCATGTCAGATTTCTGGTGGAACCTCTTTCCACAGTACTGACATGGGTAAGGCCGGGTATCTGAGTGGATGAGAAGATGTGTGGACAAAGTGGAAGATCTCTTGAAGCTCTTCCCACAGATCTTACAGTCAAAGCTGCGTTCCTAAAAAACAAAAACAGACTTTACTGAACTATACAAGGCACAGCAATATGGCTAAAATATCAACTGTCTTATCCTCATTAATTGATTATACCATAACAAACATAACAAAAACATAACAAAAGTGGATTAAAAAGTATATTTTGTAAAACAAATTCCTACAGTATATAGTTTTAAAAAAATAGGGAAGAATCTTAGTGGAAGAAGGAATTAAGAAATATTATTAATGATCTGGAATAATTTTGGGAGGTAAATTAAACTAGATGATAATCAATCTTTCTCTTTATCTCTCTCACTCTCTCTCTTTCTCTCTCTCTGATCCAGATATAAATACATTTATAAATTATCTACAAATAATTAAACTTTGGAAAAATAAATTAAACTAAGCAGAGCTAGTACAGTGTTCCTCAAACTTGGCAACTTTAAAGTATATGGACTATAATTGCCAGAATTAGCCTAAAGTAAAGGTAACAGTTCCCCTTGCACATATGTGTTAGTCGTTCTATGGGGTGGTGCTCATCTCCGTATCAAAGCCGAAGAGCCAGCGCTGTCCCAAGACGTCTCTGTGGTCAGGTGGCCAGTATGACTTAATGCCAAAGGATCACAGAACGCTGTTACCTTCCCACCAAAGGTGGTCTCTATTTTTCTACTAGCATTTTTATGTGCTTTCGAACTGCTAGGCTGGCAGAAGCTGGGAAAAGTAACGGGAGCTCACTCTATTACAGGGTACCAGGGATTCGAACCGCCCAACTGCCGACCTTTCTGATTGACAAGCTCAGCATCTTAACTACTGAGCCACTTTCAACTTTTCAGCCTAGCTACCAACTAATGGAATGCAATCGGAGTCTGGACATATTTCAGAATATTCAGGAAACTCTCCCACCAGGATAGTTTCCTACAGAAAGTAATGAATGCCGACAAACTTCTAAAATAAACTACAAAAACTGGAAGAATCAATTAGCGTTTTTTTATAGAATTAATTGCCATAAGACATTTTTATTTCACAGAAAGATCCATTGTGTGCAGGGAAAACCCTGCTTTGGTCTACACCTCATTGCCTGAAATTTAGCTGGGGACGCATTGGGAAAAGGAAAAATAAATCCAATAAACGGCAGCAACTTTAAAACTTAAAATGCTTCTGTTTTGCAAGAAATATGCATTTGCACAGATGTCTCACTCTTCCGGGTTGGCATTTGGAAAGTGTGACTTGCAACCCGAGAAAACTGCTTTTGTGTGAACAGCATGAAGGAACAATGTAATGGGTTTGTTGTTTTGGTGGGGGTAACTGACTCACCCAACAAATGGAGGTGTATTGAGGCTCAGATTCTTTTTATAAGTAAAATTCTCCAACTAGAACAGAATTACTGTTCTAGTTGTTTGACTGGTTACTTATTAATTCTGGAAATTCATAGATCATACCTTCATCCCAAAGAAATCCCAGGACAGGCTACCCAGACATAAAAACTAAGTATCTCTGGCCATTACGAGCTACAAAGACAGTTTTCCACAAGTGCAGCTTGCATGGAAAACCAAGAAGGAAGGTGATACTATTATAACCAGGTTAAAACAAACGAAACACTTGCAAAAGGTGTAGGGAAAATATATTACTTTCCAGTATGACTTATGCTGTACACCCCTTTTCAAAACCTGATATTAATCACAGGATTTGATTGAGCGCAAGATTTTCTTTCACAAATGAACAACGCACCCTACCTATACTGTCCTCATCTAGGTCAAGCTACCCAAATCTGTGATTTGAAAAGGCCTACAAGGAGGTCCCACGGAAGCAAATGGGTAGTAACAGACATGAAAATTCAATTCGTATTGCTTTAAGCCATACCTTCCACAGCCTACCTTCAAGTCAAAATTGGATGTTTATTGAGAAAGCAAGATTTAATTACAATAATTGTGATTAGGCGGTAGGGGTGGGCTGCTGGGAGTTCACGGGGGTTCAGGAAAACCTCTAGCTAAGGTTCTGTGCGGTTCGGAGAACCCCCAAATCCCACTCCCACCCCTCCCCTCCCAGGAGTCCCCACGTGGCCTGTTTTGGATGCAGGTAAGTGCAGGGCACATTGGAGGCTCGGGGTGGGTAAAAAACAGGTCTACAGGAAGTTTGGGAAGGCCAGAGAGCCTCTAGGGCCTGGGGAGGGCGTTTTTGTCCTCCTGGAGGCTCAAGGAAAGCCTCTAGAGACCCAGGAGGGCAAAATACCCTTATAAAGAAGAATTGGACTTCTCAAAGGTTCTCATGAAAATGATGGGAAGCAGTAGTGATAAAATCAAGGAAGAAACAAGGAATATTGTTTCCCACATTTAGTTGGAAATTTCTTCCATTCTCCTTCAGCCATCAAACTTCACTTTTCGGTTTCAGGTTCTGTGATACTTTAAGAAGGCACCCTGGTTCAAATCCCACCAAGGTAGCCTTGACTTACAACATTTCGTTGAACAGTGATGATTTGAACTTTGAACAGTGACAGTTCAAAGTCACAAAGGCACTGGAAAAAATGACTTAGGACCATTTTTCACACTTATGACCGTAGCAGAATCCCCATGGTCACATGATCAAAATTCAAATGCTTGACAACTGATTCATATTTATGATGGTTGCAGGGTCCCAGGGCCATGTGATTCTGCTTTGTGACCTTCTGACAAGCAAAGTCAATGGGGAGAAGCCAGATTCATTTAGCAACCGTGTCATTAACTTATCAACTGCAGTGATTCACTTAACAACTGTGGTAAGAATGTAAAATGGGGCAAAATTCACTTAACAGATGTCTCACCTGGCAACGTAAATTTTGGGCTCAGTTGTTATATGTCAAGGACCAGTGGTGGGTTTCAAAAATTTTTAGAACCTCTTCTGTAGGTGTGGCCTGCTTTGTGGGAGTGGCTTAACAGTCATGTGACTGGGTGGGTGTGGCCAATTTGTAAAATGTGGTGAAACTCACTTAACAAGGCTCTTGCTTAGCAACAAAAATGTTGGCTCAGAAACTCTGGCATTTGAAGACTTGTGGACTTCAACTCCCAGAATTCCTCCTCCAGTCATGTTGGCTCAGGAACTCTGGAATTGAAGTGTGCAAGCCTTAAAGCTGTCAAGTTACAAGACACTTGCACCCCTAACCCTTTAGGGGGGAAAAATCCAGGGGTGTTCAAACTTGCTTTAAGACTTGTGGACTTCAACTCCCAGAATTCCTCCTCTCACTCTTCATCTTGATGATGTGCAGACAGGCGGGGAGAGGAAGCTGGAACCAGTTCTAAACGGCACTGTGGATTTGTGGAACCTCTTCTATAGAAGAGGTTAGAACTGGCAGGAACCCAACCCTGTCAAGGACTATCTCTACAATTCTTTTGATCTTCTTCCCTTACCGGCCTGCATCACGTATAGCTGTTTTCCTTTAATTATTGAAGTACTGTAGCTATCCTATAAAAAGCTGTATTTTGTGCTTCCTCCCAAAAAGAACCCTATTTAATGTATTAAAGAAATAATTGCAACCAAATTTGAATTTGGGTTAATTGATCATATATCTTTAATCTTTAATCTTTAATATAATCACCATACTGATCCTAAAAACTCTGATTTTCATATAATAGAAAGATCTCAACGGGGTCTGATGAATGGTAGCTGTTGCACTCAAACAAGCTCCATGTAGCAGCCCAGTCTATCATATTACTCCATCTAAAAGCTTTTCACATCTTCTTTCTCTATGCAGGCTCTTGAGAGGATCAATCTTATCATCTCAAGCACTTGGCTATCCCAGAATGTCTCCACCCCATTGCTGACAGTAGGAAAAGGTATTCAATCTGGAGATTGGATTGATGTAACTTCTTATGCCATAAATAACAGTTGTACAAATTTCTGACCTTTATGTGTACCTTTTAGCAGCCTCCTCTTAGAGAACTGTTGTGACCCAGCAGGAGCCGTTGGAGCTGCCACCAGACTCCGACAGTGAGGGGCCCTATGAGTCAGCTTTGGAGGATGTGGAGGACCCTGGACAGGGTTCCAACTCCAAGCAGGGCGCAGAGAGGCTGGTTGGCCACCAGGAGGTGCCTGAGCCTTAGACCAGTGGGGAGGAGACAAGGGAGTGTGATCCAGACGTCAGCAGTGGGGAGGAGACAAGGGAGTTGTTCCTAGATGCCCGGCACCCGAGATCTAAAAGGCGTAAGGAACAATTACGCAATTACAGGAGGTAATTGCACTCAGCTGGTAGTCATTAGGCTCCTCTCCAGACTATAAAAGGACTGCTTATGCACAAGCCCCTTTTGCAGAAATCAACGCAGGAACTAATGTCGGAGAACATTATGATGAGCTTGGCAGGCTGGATTGCTGCCAAGGCTTATCTGTGCTGGATTGCTGCCCAAGCTTGTCTGTCTGTTAATTAAATGCCGTAACCTATCTTTGGCTTGGAGGGTGTGTTGGTGTGGGATGAGGAGGGTCAGAACAGAGAACTAACATATACAAAAGATCTCTTATTTGACTCTTTAATAGATCTTTTTCCGGATGAGTTACAACCAGAGCTCAACTGGAGGAATCATTTGGAATTAATGCCCAACTGACCATCCTCATACCCTCTGATACCCGTAGACTCCATCATTCCCCCCACCCCCGAGTCGTCTCCTCCTGAACACTCACCTGGGAGTGCACAGCTTTATGCTGCTCCAAGCTAACGGCATGGCCAAATGTCTTGCCGCACATTTCGCAAGCGAAGGGCCGGGTGCCACTGTGTGAACGACGGACATGCACCTCTAGGCCATGCGGTGTAGAGAAGTCCTAAGGAACAAAGAATGAAGGAAAACATCAGTGTTCAGGACTAAAGCTCATAGCAGGTTCTGAGTCTTAGGTCGCTGAAGTTGTCCGATCGAGAATTTCCCTTGGCGATCCCCCCACTGAGCAATAACCAAAGGACATCATGAGTATAGAAAGGATTCTCAAGAAGTGGCTTGCTGTTGACAATGAATTATGTCCTACCAGGAATTGAACTCTACTGGTTTTCTAAGGCTGGTTTCATTCAAGGATTCCCAGTTTAAACTATTCTATATATCCAGGTGGAAGGGTGCTTTTTTTTTTAATATTACCCATGATCCATCATGCAACTCAGTCAATTAATTAGTGGAAAACTGGATTGCTTTATGTAAAGGACGTGAGACCTTTTGTGATACATAGCCTGTGATGGACATAGTTATGAAGAATCCATTAGAAGAAGGAAAAAATATATTAATGGTGGCTTATAATCATAGCTATATATACTATCCCACAATCAGAATCACAATACTAGATTTTGGTTTTTTTTAAAAAAATAGACACTAGAGAATGTGAGTTGGATTTCATGTCCTGCTGTGGATTTCTCATAGGTATCTGACCAAGAGCCGAGGTGGCACAGTGGTTAAATGCAGCACTGCAGGCTACTTCAGCTGACTGCAGTTCTGCAGTTCGGCTGTTCAAATCTCACCGGCTNTGTAGGATGAGTTGCGCTTTTCTATTGAGCAGTGCGTTCGCGCACGTTTTTGGACAGCGGGGATCCTCGAAGTCGCCTCGGTCCGCGCCCCTAGCCGTTTACCTGAGAGGCGCAGGTATAACTGAGCACGCGGGGCTTGGATCCCCTTAGCGACGGCGACGGCCACTCTCTAGAAGCCTCCTGAAGCCCTCGCCTTCCCCGTCCTACGACTCTCTTGATTAAGCATTGCTACCATGGATGGGCATTTCTAGGGAAACGCGAGCTTCTAAACCCCGCGCACGGCGCGCCATTCCCTGGAGAACCGTGGGCTCTTTTTACATCGCCGTCCTGGAAAAGGGAGGGACGCGCAAGCTTCTAGGCAGCTGGCTTGAGGCTTATTTCAGGGATATCCCAAAACGCCGCGTCCTCCAAACCCTCCTCCCTCAAAGGTGGTTTAAATCCTTACAATCCGAGGCGGAGATGTAAATAAACTAAGATTGGAGAGAAGGACGCTTTAAAGTCGGTCAAACGGCATCCAGGGCGACAGGATTCGCTCTTCCGTTTTTTTTTTTTTAAGGGAGAAGGTTAAACGGCGAGTCAACCTTCAACAGCTGTGGGTAATTCCAATATTTTCACTTCCTGATTTTAAAACCAGTTTCGCTAATCTCGGCCTTTGCAGGACAAAGAGGGTTTGAAACTGCAAGCAACTGCACGCAAGGGAATCCGGAGAACGCGAAGATGGGAAACGTCAGAATGTCCTGTTTCAACTCAAGGACCATCAAACCATCGCCCAGCCGCCCAAGTATATCCGTGTTTAACCGAAATGTGTGGCTTACGCAAGTCACCCGATCTTTCTGACTTTACAGGGCACTTCTAAACCAGCTTGTTTCGAAAATGGCTGCGTTTCCTTAAACATGGTTAAGTCTGCCGGCTTTCATCGTGGCTACTGTCGTTGTTTTGTGATTTGGAGGGATTTATAGTGCGATGTATTGTGCCAATACAGAAATGGCTTAATGCAGTAACCAGGTTAGCTGTGTTTGGCTAAGGCATCCCTACAAGCATAAATAAAGCACAAGAATNGGTGAGATTTGAACCGCTGAACTGCAGAACAGCAGTCAGCTGAAGTAGCCTGCAGTGCTGCATTTAACCACTGCGCCACCTCGGCTCTTCGGAAGGGAATCGAAGCAGTTAAACTCGGGTTCCCACGACCACTTCCAACGCCACGAGTCTGCTACACTAATCCTTAAAGAGGTCGGGATGGCAGGACGCGTGTGATTAAAATGTGACCGGCCGGTTGGTGGGTCAGCGCGTCGTGCCAACTCAGCCAGCGCAAGTAAGACGGGGCGGCAGATGCAGCTTCGCGGCTCTTCAGTCAACCGCGCCTGTCAAAACCCGGACCTTCTCCGGGATCTCAGCCAGCGGGAAGCAGGTGCCCGGAGGCGATGGCCTCGCGCCTCCCCAGGCAGGCGGCCCGGAGGGGAGAATCGTCCCCCGGAGGGCTTTTGCCTCTTACCTGCGCAGATCTGAGCCAAGACGCTCTCCAGGGTGCCGCCGTAGTCGCCGTCGGGGGCGCGGGGCTGGTGGTAGCTATGAGCCTTCTTGCTCTTCACCAGGAACGACCGAGGCATGGCGAGGGGCCTGAGGCTGGCCGCCCCCTTTCTCGCCTCCCCCCCCGCCCGGGCTGGCTCTTGTCACGCCTTCGGACCTCTTCGACTGAAGAGTCGCAGCGGCCGCCGCGCTGGTTCCTCTGCGCGCCACCAGCAGCCAAGCTCTCCAACGCCCCGGCCGCGCTGCGAGGGACCTAGGCGGAGGGGGAAGGAGGCATTGGTCACCGATCTCAGGGGGAAGGCGGAGGGGAGGAGCGCCGGGACGGGAAGACGCCCTACCATCCACCAGGTGGCATTCACACAGGTGGCCCCAGCCCGACGACGGGAGCGCGGCTCCAACCGCCTGGCACTTTCTCAACCTCTCCCCCTGGTCCCGTCCCCCCACCCGTTTCGCCGGCGCGGCCTTTCGGGCGGTGGGCGGGGTGGGGGTAATTTAATTCAAGAGGAATAGACGGTTCTACAAAAAAAAAAAGCATGGCCCTCCTCCAGAAAGCTCCCCCCCCCATGTCCCTCCAAGCTATTTCTTTCTAAGCAATCTAGCAGAGGGGACAGNTGAAGCGGTATATAAGTCTAACTGCTATTGCTATCATTGAGCAAAAAGAAATAATAGAATAAATGTGTGGCCTGATACATCAGATCATTTTGAATCATGTGATCAATGAAAGGTCAGGGCAAGTCATGTGACACTCTGACCCCAACCTTCCATCACTTCTTCAGATCATTGATCTACCTCTCTTCTGACCCCCCCTCCTTTCACCTTTTGGTTTGCCCATCCTTGGCCTGGCCCTTCCAAAATGGAATTTAAATCCTACCTTGCTGCATTTGACGCATTTGTAGGAGCCGTTGCTGAGCAACAGAGGGCGACAGAGGAGTTCTGATTCCAGTTTGACGCTATTTGCACTCTTCTCGGGTTGCAGTCCAGGCGGGGTCTCCGCAAAGATTCCGGAGGCTGCTGCTGGCCGCTCAAAGAGTCCCGGAGAGCCAAAGTCACCATAGAGTCCAAGGGCTGAGTTACGCTCTGAGGCATACAGAGCAGGCTCAGATCTTCGCTCACAGAAGAGGCCACGTTCCAGAGTTGAACAAGGCCTGCAGTTCTGTACCAAATGTCTTAGTTCAGTGTTTCCTAGGCCGCTCCATGTGTAGGGCTTCAAGGGTAAGGAGAAGTGGGAAGGTTCGTCGAAGGATGGACAGATGGACCGCTCGGAAGCTGGGGAAATACAATACATTAGAGACAATTACTAGGACGCTCATGCACGCCCAAGGAGCAGGGCGGGGCAGGGCAGGGAGGGGAGGGGTGGAGAAGAGAAAGAAAGGGAAGAGAAATTTGCTTTACTAATGTTACATTGCAATTTCATGACAACTACTCTCTCATTTATCTAGGGTTCCATATAAACACACATCCCTTCATGGATTGCTGCCTTGTCATGGCGAAGGGGCTTACGTAGCTCAATGAATAGCAATAGCAATAGTAATAGCAATAGTTAGACTTATATACCGCTTCATAGGGCTTTCAGCCCTCTCTAAGCGGTTTACAGAGTCAGCCTATCGCCCCCAACAATCTGGGTCCTCATTTTACCCACCTCGGAAGGATGGAAGGCTGAGTCAACCTTGAGCCCGTGAGATTTGAACTGCTGAACTGCAGATAGCAGTCAGCTGAAGTGGCCTGCAGTACTGCACTCTACCCACTGCGCCACCTCGGCTCTCAAGAAGCTATGAGTTATGCCGTGCAGGGTCGCCAAACAAGAAAAGGTCATAGCAGAGAGGAGCTCTGACAAAATGTGATCCACTGGAAAAGGACAACCCACTCCAGTATCTTTGCCGTGAAAACCTCATGGACAGTACCCAAAGGCCTGGAGGAATGTTGTCCATGGGGGTCACAATGGGTCAGACACAACTTCGCAACTAACAAATAAACACAAAATATTCTATCAGAAGTTATGCGCAGTGAAGAAATTAAACGCTCCTGTAGGCAATGAACAATAATTCTGAACAATCTCTCCTCACGTATTTAAATGAGCTTCATCATAATTACTCTTCTACATAGGAATTCAATGCTTTTTCATGACCTGAGAATGGTTTCTGTAAGCAATAATGTTATAGTTTCCCTATGTATTTTGCTCTAAGTCAGAAAACAGGCTGCTTTTAAACTCTGTACTACTTTTTCTGTAGAATCTTGAGATTAAAGGGAAATTAATCCTCCACCTCCTTTTTTTTCCCCTGGCACAAAACCTCTGAGATTAATTCTATCATTCTTGATAGAATGATCTCTCAATCAGATATGATTGCCTGCGTGAGCCTTCTTGAGCAATACATCTGCCCATTTTCTACATAGATGAGCCATATAAATATGATGTTTTGAAGAGATAAGAGCAAAAGCACTTCCCATTTTGGGATTGGACTAGAAACAGTCTGAGAATGTAACCAATTGCGATTGTCTTCGGCATCGTCAGAAATTTTAGGGATTTGAAATTTCTGGGAGGAGGTGGAATAGGCTTTCCAAAGCAGAGCTCCACAAATAACTGACAACATTAATACATTAATACAAAATCTTCAAGTGAGAATGTTTAGAAGCATATCCAAGCAGCCCACAATTGAGGTTGCCTTTGTGATAAAGAAGCAAACAAACAAGTTGTATCTACCTGCAGCAAAATAAAAAAGATTTGGGCCATGAAGATTCTGGGCTGTAACTTCTTTTATTTGTTTTTTTTCTGCACATAGAAAAAAAAAAGGATAGTTGCTGATATTTATCTCCAACATGCTCGCTGGTGGTCAGACTGCTGATTGCTTCAATGGTTCCTCTGAAAACAATCATCTCTTGCAAACCCAAACCAAGGATATTTGATTGCTGGTTTTGTAAATTCGGATGTTTGCCTTTTTCTGTCTAAATTGACACTTCCAACATACGAGTCAAACTTAATTTGTGGATGTCCGTGTAATTTTCTTGACAACCGTACAGAGGCGAACTGCCATTATTTTTCTCCAGTATTTCTGGGTTAATTCTGTTTTGTTTTCACTTATAAACGTAATCTACAGAATTGCCTGAGAATTCTGCTGGCCTCCCATCCAAATACGAATCTTGTCCGACCCTGCTTAGCTTTTTTCAGGTCAGGCAGTGTAAGGTGTGTCTTTACCCTGAATTAGACGTTTTAAATGCAATTATTAACTAATTGGATTAATTAAACTGCTTTGTTTTTGGGCTTTGGAAAATCTTCGCATTATATGTGTTTTTTTTTAATTTGAGAATTTTATTTAAAAAGTATAGGTTCAGTTAAATTTCAGTTAAAATGAAACAAAAAATGAAAACTAGTATCAAAGCTTGAGAGGGCAAATCTATCTGCTCACAAGTCTTCCTTCCTTCCTTACTTCATTCATTCATTCATTCATTAATTCATTCAATTAAATGAGGCAAAACCAAAGGATCAATATCAGGTATAATTTATATTTCCCACAATAAGGTATTATCAGAAAATAAAGATGGATGGACTGGTGGAGCCCAGAGATTTATCTTTCGATCTATATGCTTTGACATTGTTCACATCCATCCTGACAACTATTTTAATGGCCATTAACCTCACTCACACACACACACACACACCTTAAGGTTAAGGACCTCTGAAACAGACAGTCCAAATGAAAAGAAATGCAGCAAATATTCACATCCGTTCTTGTATTTTAAATAATTATTATTATTGTACAAGCTCACCAATGAAGATGTAATTAAAGACTATTCCTTCTCATAATGTACCAATAAAGCATCTTTTGGAAGTGTGGGGAGGAGATAAAACAATGTTATAAAGAAATTAAAGGATGGACTTTATATCAGCAAAGGAATAAAAGATACCATAGGCCTGGAAGACAAGGGAATTTAAAATTGCCTTTTAAGTAATTTATCTTTAGATGTGTAGTGTCTTCTGACAATTAGGAACACATGCCATTTTTCAATGATGGGCTTTCATTCATATCACAGGCAAAGAAATAATAACTTCTGTAGGCTCAGTAGATATTCGCAAATTATTCTGTTCCTGTTCTGATCATTTCAGTTGGGGAAAGGCTAGTGACTAACGGAACCCACCAGAAAGTCTTTGAGGATGTATTGACAGATCTTCCACAAAATGCATATTATAAAACCCAGGGGCAGTCCTAACCAAAGGCTGACTAAACCTGAAGCTGAATAAATCAGCTTCAGCTTTGGATTTCACGATTTAATTGTTGTCAAAGATTTCATTAATTGTTCCAGGAGGGCTGAAGCTTTGGTAGCTGGTTTATACTGTCGTTCAAAATTTGTATCCAAACTGGGGGCATGCTGATAAAATAGCAGAAGGACGGGAGCTTACTCATTCCTAAAATTACTCCCTGGAGGCACATAAACCAATTTCAAGGCGTGGTTTTTGCCAGAATGCTAGCTGCTCCTCCCAATAACCAGCCTCCAAGTCCTTCAGGATGTTTTCTGCTACTCCTGCTAGCTGCTTACTTTGGTATATATATATATATATTTCTAAACAGGTTTGGGTGGTTTTATTTAGTGCAACGAGTGAAAAAGACTGGTCAGGAAAAATTCAACGGGCATTCTGTTAGCCCCAATGATATTTACTTCCAGTTGACACAACTTGGACAACCGGCCTCACAAAACAAGTACACTTTTTGGGGCAGCTTTGAATAAATTCTTCCCTATATGCTCACGGCTCCGTTTCTCATTTTATGGGCCTGAGACCCAAAGTTAACCCTTTTACAACATTCAGGTGGGTCAAATTGTTGATCGCCTCTGTTGTTTCCCCTTCCCGTTTAAGTTGTTCGCCGCCCTGAGTCCCTTTCAGGGAATAGGGCGGCATATAAATAAAATAAAACTTAAACTTAAACTGGAGGGGGGGGAGCAGCAAGCTGTCTGCACTTGTCAACTACATCTTCATAATTAATGGAAACCATCTCTTAACGAAACTAACGAAGCTTTCTCTCCTTCTAGGGTTAGAGCCCTTTTCAGGATTTTGGAATGGTTTTTTAAAAAATTATTTCAGCCCATTTTCAGCTGCCGGAGATCTCTCTCTCTCTCTCTCTCTCTCTCTCTCTCTCTCTCTCTCTCTCTCTCTCTCTCTCTCTCT